GAAGTTTACAGTGTGAAGCCAAAGCCAATGCAAGAGGCTGTGATTACAGTCTGGCCTAAAATGCTGGAGGATGCTTTTGAGACCCATAATTTACAGCATAATTAGCATCTTCCAAAGCAACAGATGTTGCAGCATCTGAAGGAAGGTGGCTGGGAGTGAATAGTGTTTTATCCAAACAGGGTCCAGGCTGCTGCTGAATGTTTCCCAGGCTTGGAGTCAGGCAAAATAAGCAACTAGAGCTGAGGGTGCTGTGCTGACCAGGGCAAGGGAATAAGAGGGTATGGCAGATCTGTGTTTTCAGTGACAGCTGGAACTACTTCATTGCTCATTTAGTGCTGACTGAATGCACAGAACCTCTACCAGGGGCTATTGATCCAGAACTGGTGCTCAGAGGCATCATTTGAGGGATCCCTCTGTAGTTGCTCAGTGGCAGCCATCAAGATGAGTTCTTAGAAGTCAGTAACATTTCAAAACTGTGATTGAAGGCTCTGATAAATGTGTCTAGCTAAAAATTAGGTAATTTTTTTGTCTCTCATTTCCCCCCTTAATTGAGGATCTCTCCATTGTCCCCAGAACTCATGCTTGGTCTTGCATTTGCTATTAAGCTTTTATTTTTCTAGCCCACACTTGAATCCCACATTTGCAAGGAGAGGAAACAAGCACATTCAAAAGCAGAAAATAAGAGTAGTTTTCGTTTTCTTTTTTTTCAATGAATCGGATGCCTTATGCAAAGCCCATTGAATTCCCTGTGAGTTTTCCCCCTGACTTCAATGGGCTTTGGTTCTGGCTTTTAGCTCCCCTGAAAGGTCCTGAACTATCTGTGCTGGGGTGACAAGGAGGCTTGGAGAGACAATTCCCAGAGCTCTTCTCAGCCCCGGGCACAGCCAGGTTGCTAAGGAGACTTGGCCTGGCCAAGGTCCTGGAGCTCCCCCCTTCCGGGGTTATTGTCTGCTGTCCCTGCCAAGGCTCTCTGGTGGCAGCAGTGCCACTCTCTCAGCCACAATCCCTCTCCACTGGCCTCTGGCAGCAGCAATTCCTGCCCTGCATCTCCCCTCTGCTGCCTGCTTGGCCAGCAGCCTCCCTTCCCATGGCTGCTCCATCCTGCTCCAGGGCTGCAGGGATGGGCTGGTGTCTGCAGGTCTCCCTTGGCTCTGAGGGCTGGGGTTTGGCCCCTGTCACCCACCTCCACACCCCAGCATCTTTCTTCACCTCCTACGGTTGCATCACTTTCTTCTTTCTCTCCTCTCTCCGTTCCTCCGGCCAGCAAAAAAAAAAAAAAAAAAAAAAAAAAAAAAAAAGGAAATAAAGCCAAGATGGGGAAGAGATGAGTCCCTTTTGTGGGAATCCTCTGTTCAGGGGCTTAAATTCCATAAAGAGCCAGTTCTCAGGATTCCTTGTGAAGTGTGTAGGCTCCAATAGTCATTTCCAGCAGAAGGACAGGCTCCCACCATCTCTAGGGGTCCTGCAGTGCTTGGAACTTCCTGGGGAGCTCCTTCCATTGTACCAGGTTTGCTTTTTTTTTGAACCTGTATTTTCCAGCTTTCCTGGATTCTTTGTAGTTTTATCTCTTGGAGGGTGGTATTTTGAACTTTTAACATTAACAGGCTAAATGACAGCTTCCTCTAAGCCTTTTGGGCAAGGTCTCTTTGTCAGCCATCCCTTCAGATAGCAACTCTGTTTGTCTACAGATAAGTGAGCAGAAATGCTCAAGCCCTGGGCACTTTTATGGTGGTGTAAAATGTAGGTGCTTGTGGCCTTGAATCTGATATATCTCATGTGAACCATCATTTTGACTCTGTGTTTTGTAGATAACTACTTCCTCAGATGGGGATGATGTTGGTTTTGTATCTAGATGCAAGCTGGTATACTGTCTCTTATGGTGGGATCCAGCACAAAGCAGGTTGGGGGTGATTTTCTGTGTTATAGCATATGTTTTTGACTTGATTTTATAACAAATTGTGTCATCAATGAGATTGTAACACTGAAATGTCAGTGTTCAGGCAGCATATATTTATTTCTCAAGGTGTTTCTTCAATATTAATGAACAAGAGGAATAGTAAAATCAGCCACCAGAGCTATGAGATTTGTTGCCAGCTTGTTTTGTATGAAAAAATTGTTTAAATAACTAGAGATGTATCTGATCACAATGTTTTAGTGATGATCCTGATTACAGTTATTAGGGAATGATAATATCACTTTCAGCAGCCTTAAAGATTTTTATAAAGGCAACTTTGACTCCTTTGCTGGTGTTCAGTAAAAAGGAACACACTGTTTCCATCTAATATTAGTGCAGCTAGCTGTTTGAGTGATGATATTTGCTTACAAATGTACAGCTTGTATTTTAAATGCTGAATAGTGATGTGAGATTTATGAACATGGCTTTGACAGTACCTGTGCTTAACAGAGTCCTTAGATGTGTGTGGGTTTGCAGAGAAGTAGGATAACTTCAGGATGTTTTTGGATAACGTCCTGAAATGAGTATTTCCAGGAAAAGGTGCTGTACAAAATTAAGCTTGGTCTTTGGTAATTAGTGGAAGTTGCTGTGTAGCTATTTTCCCCAATTCTGAGTGTATTTTGTGGGCTCTTTGGACCCCAGGTTTGCCATGAAGCCTGCTGGATTTGCAACCTAAATGGTGATGGTTTTGTTCTCCTGTGCTGTTTGCCTGTGTGGGCACAGGACTACTCCCCTGTGCTGAAGTGAAGGAGCTGGTGAACACTGATCCATGTGTGGCAGGGCAACAAAAGTTTATTTTTAACACATTTGCCTTTAGAGAAGAAATTTCAGAAGAGGCTGTACGTATGTAGTCATCCACATGCACACACTTTTAATTTTTTTAAACGAAATTGGGGGCCAAGATTGTGGGAACTCTGCTTTTACTCCTTTGCTTTGCCTCCTCTTTTTTGGTAGAGGAAATCCTTGACAGTCATCAATAAAAGATTAAATCATTGATGGCTATCAGGATAAACTAAACACATCTCGTGTGTGGATGCTGGCATAGTAGGAACTTTTCCAAGATGTTTCAGGCCTCATTCTCTGGTTTGTTAAAGGGCAGAGAATAAGGTCACAAAGGAAATCAAACCCTGATGTGGAGAAATGAAACATGAGGCCTACTGACTTCTAAAAAACATTTTAAATAACATTCTCTAAGGTTTCATTTTATACCGAAGGCAGCTGTAATAAGTTTTGGAAGATGGTGTAAGGTTTCTATTAAAGGGAGATTTTTGCTTGCTGGTTTTGTACCCAAATGAAGGAATGAGGGAGATGGAATTAGAGCTTATTTAGTATAAGGTGAGAAACTAAAAGTTCTCTCCAGAACTGTAAAATAATAATTTATATGTTCTACTGCAATTTACAAATTAAAAAATATGAAACTGTTCCTAGATCTTTGAAAATGACACACATAGCCATGGAATAATTTAGTAACTGCAATGCAAATGCACTTTTGCCACAAGTAAAATAAGACTGCTGCTTTGTAGTGTGCTGCCAGCACAGCCTCAGTGAATAAATTCCCAGTAGATGTTTGCTGCATGCCAAATATATTGGACTGTATAAAAGATCCCATTGTTCAATGGCATCATTATTTGCTATTATACTCACAATGTTTGCTTGTGAAACAATTTATTGGAGACAAGTATGTTTAAGAAGGAACGCTTGGTTTGAAATTCAGCTGATTTGGCTTGTAGTGTCAGAGCTTTTACAGTATATAGCCTCTAAAAATAAATATTTAGGTCTGCTATTTTTTACTTATCTTTGAAAGAATTCCTGGAGCAGGGGAGAACGGGGAGCTGAGGCCGGGGATGGCCAGTGAGCATTTCAGTTCTGATTCATAGCATTGTTTAGGTTACAAAAGCCCTCTGAAATAATTGAGTCCAACCATCAACCCAGCACTGCCAAGGCTGCCACTAAACCACGTCCCCAGGTGTCACATCTGCACACATGACTTTTAGATGCCCTCCCTGGGCAGCCTGTTCCAAAGCTGGGCAATCCTTTTGGTCAGGAAATTTTCCCTGGTATCCAATCCAAACCTCCCCTGGCACAACCTGAGGCCATGTCCTCTCATCCTGTCACTTCTCACCTGTGAGAAGAGCCTGACTCCCACCTGGCTAAAACCTCCTGTCAGGGAGTGAGAAGGTCCCTCCTGAATCTCCTTTTCTCCAGGCTAAAGAACCCCAATTCCCTCAGCTGCTCCCCATGAGAGGCTGACTGAAAATGTGTGAGAAGTACTTATGCCTGGGCATAGATTAGAAACTGAATTGGCTCACATTAAACACACTTCAGTTTTCCAGAGAGCTCTGTGTTTGCCTGTGTCTTGGTGAGAATAAGAATGAAGCAGTGTTTCTGCTGCTGTGTCTGGGTGAAGCAGAGAGTAGTGGTGGTGGTGGCACTGATTAGAGCATTTTAAGAAGCTGAGCTGCCTCATTTGTACATCCTGCATGCTGAGGCTTCTGCTACTAATTTGAGAAATTGCTTTTGGTTTATTTTAACATGTTTTAAATCAATAATAATTCAAAATTAATAATATTTATTCTTAATGTGTATCAATTTTTCTTTTAAATAAAAATAATAAATTAATCAAAAATAATCAACAATATTTCTTCTTAATGTGTGGAGGTCTAGTCAATTCAAGATATTATAGAGCTCAGAGGTAACTTAATTACGGTAGCTTAAAAAAACCCAAAAGGAGATATTTTACCTAATTAGGTCTGAGTTAAACCATGGAAAATGAGCAAAGTGTTTAAGCAGGGTTTTCCCCTTCTCCCCCCAAAATGGCTATTCTTTAAATTACAAGTGTAGCACTCAAGCCATCTCCTTTGAACTGCAGGTTTTGTTACACGCTTTGGCTGCGGTGTTATTTCGGAGGAGTCAGCCAACAGGCTTACAGGGCTTTTTGGCTGGGGTTCACTTACAGTTTTCTTGGCAGCCCTGCTTATTTATGCATCTTTATTTCTCTCTCTCTCCCCCTCTCTCCCCGCCGTTCGTTCGTTCCCTGCTGGCGCAGAGCGCTCCCCGCACCGGCCCATCCTGCAGGCGGGGCTCCCCGCCAACGCCTCCGCCGTGGTCGGGGGGGACGTGGAGTTTGTCTGCAAGGTCTACAGCGATGCCCAGCCCCACATCCAGTGGATAAAGCACGTGGAGAGGAACGGCAGTAAATACGGGCCAGATGGGCTGCCTTATCTCCAGGTTTTAAAGGTGAGGCTTCGCAGATGCCGGCAGCGGTGATGCCTTCTTTAGAGCGTGGTGTAAATCCAAGGATTTTGAGTTCTGAGCTTCTTTTGAAAGTGGAGATGTTTATGTTAAAGTGAAATGATGAGTTAGATAAACATTTGCTTGTCTGAATGCTAACTGTGCAGCTTATAGACACTGTTTTTCTCCTTTTTACTTCCATGAAAAGTCCTTTATATATGAATGTTCCAGGCATGACTTGTTCAGAACAAAAATGAAAATCCTTCTAAAAAATATCATTGACATGTTTGCATGAGTAGAAAGCGTCTAAAACATACCTGGGACAATCTTCTCCATTTCTTTAATGTTTCTTCAGCCTCTTGATTTCAAAGAAACGTGGCAGCTGCTTCCAAAAGCTTGCTGGAGGACTGGGCTGTCTGGATGCTGAGCCTGCAGAGGTGTCTGGTTTGGAGCAGTGTATTGGTACTGTCATTCCTGCCAGTTTGGAGCAAGCCTGACCAGGGAAACCGAAGCTTTCCAAGCTGGGTGGCATTGCCAAAACTCTTGTCAGGCAGGACAGCCACCTCTGTACCTGCTTGTCTCATGCAGTACCTGCCCAGGTGGATTCCTTTCTCCCCCACGCTGCTGTTTTCTAACTCCTTGTGTGATGTTGTGGATGTGAGAAAACCAAACAACAACTAAAAGGAAAAAAACAAAAACAAACAAACAAAAAAACCAACAAAACCCCAAACCCTTCAATGTTTAGAGGCTGATGTGGAATATTCTGGTGCCGTGTTGGTGGTGGGACCATAGACAGATTGGTGTCCATTGTGGGCAGCAGTGACGTTGTTCTCCTGTGTTATTGGTCTGTTCTAGCACTCGGGGATAAATAGTTCCAATGCTGAAGTGCTGACACTGTACAATGTGACAGAGGCGGACGCTGGAGAATATATTTGTAAGGTCTCCAATTATATAGGGGAGGCCAACCAGTCTGCCTGGCTCTCTGTTCTGCCAAGTGTACAAGGTAACAATGTTTTTTAAAGCAAGCTGGAAAAAATGGTGCTTTGGGAGACTGCAGGCAGCTTGTAGGATACTCTCTGGCCTTGGTGGTATATGTGTAATCCTCCTTTGGTGGTGCAGCTGGTGTTACACCAGCAGCCATGGAAAAATTCCCACAATATTCTCTGTACCAGAAGCACTGCTTTGGTTTCTGTTTGCTGATCTTTATTCTCTCTTTGGTGTCTTTGTGTCTGCGTGTGTGTGTGTTGAACAGTTTTGTTGCTAATTCTGCATACTCTGCAGTTCACACAGAGGATACTCCTTGAATAATGTAATTACAGCCTAGCAGTGTGTATTTATATTTACACATAGGTGTGTATATATATGACCTGTTCACATAAAAACCCCCTGGAGCACAAGTCAGGTAAATTTAGTCACTGTGACTGTGCAAGTGGGGGGGGTTTTCCAGGTCTTACTCACCCATTACTAACTGGGTTTTACTCAGCAGTTACAATAAAGAAAGGCGACCATGTGACTGCAGCCTACAACTAAATTTACCTCAAAATTGTCCAATAAAAAGGTATTTATTCCCTGATTTGTATTTCAAAGTAACATTTTTGAATGGAACAGAGATCAAAAGTAGCAAACATTAATTTCTCTAAACCTCCATTACTGAGATCTTGATGCTGATGCCCTGATGTACCCATCTTGGGGCAGCTGGGAAGTTCCAGGCCTAAGATTTACTCCATTTGTATGAGTTTGGATAATCACTGATACTTGGATTGGTGCACAATGTCAAACAACAAGTCTGGAAGATGACCAGTAAAAACCACAAAACGTGCAAAGTTTTTTCCCCTCAAAGTCTTGAAGATGTAGAAAAATATGTTTTATTTTCATCTCCTGGTTCTCAAACCTTTGAAGTATTTTCTGTCCTACCTGTGAGAGCCACAACTGAACAAGATCTCTGATTTTTGAGCAAGAGTTGCGATGCTTTTCACTGTGCTTCTAAGCAAATCATCAAATATTTCCAGATTTGAGATTTAAACAAGATTTGGCAACTCTTCACAATGTACAGTAGTAGTTACTACTCAAAAGTGCTGTGCAGTGGGTGATGCAAGGATCATACAATCTAAGACAGCTACTAAGTTGTCTTTTGGAGCAGAATTCACCCCTTTTTCATAATTTTCGAGTATGCTTTTATGGTAAATTCTTTCCTCTGAAACAGGTCTCTACACGTGAAGGATCCCACATTCTGTCCTACTTTGTTTTCTCTTTGTTTTCCTTTCAACTTTCTCTTGTCATAAAAGAAGAAGAAAAAAAAAAAAAGATTTGTGGGTGAATTTTTCCATGTCTTTTGATTGCATGCATGTTTAGGTGGTGAGTTTAGGTCTGGTGAAGGGTGTTGATTACTTTCTGAGGTGAGCTGGGACCTGTTGGTAAACGCCTTTTGGATGAGGGATTGTGGATGGGGAAGGAGCTTTGCATCTCTCCACCTCTGCCTCTACCAATGCAAAGCCCTGTGGCTCCATCTCCCTATCCACAAAAATTCTCTCAGTGTCTAGCTTTTTCTCCTGCTTCCCTCTTGTTTTTTTTTAGGCTGCCGGTGTTAACACCACGGACAAAGAAATTGAGGTTCTCTATATACGGAATGTAACTTTTGAGGATGCTGGGGAGTATACATGCTTGGCGGGTAATTCTATTGGGATATCCTTTCACACTGCATGGTTGACAGTTCTGCCAGGTATACACTGCTCTCTTTCTGTGGTTTTTCCTCTTTTTTTCCCCCCCTCCCCTTGTTGATTGCTGCAGAATTAGCACGGCTTCTGTCTCATAAAAAAGACTTTTACAATGATTTTGGCTTTTTAAGCGCAGTTGTCTCAAGCCAGTGAGTTGTTCTGTCACGTGTTTGCAACTCCAAAAACCAAACAGCAACAGCAATGAAAAAGGAGGTGGAATGTGTGGCTATTGCACTTAATTGAAATGTTTTTACATCGTCAAAAATGCTAAGGAGCTGCATTTCCTTAGCACTTCAATGAGACAACTGAAAATCAGCCTGTAAATCATTGTAAACTTTGTCAAGAGGATGAAATTCAGTTCGTTACAAAGTTTGGAACTAATTTGGCCATAGTTATGTACTGGCTCATTAAAATGCCTGAGCTGTTCAGTGTACTTCAATTCACTTTTACCTATCGTGCAAATCTCTCATGGAAATTCCAATTTCAATGCCAGAGGATCATGTACAGAAGCAGTGCCTTCCATATCTTGGGAATCGGCTCCGTGCATCTTTAAACATTGCATGCTCTAAGAAAACAAGTAGTCATTTGCTTTTACTGCAAAGCATGTCTTGCTGTTCTGGGGTTGATGATGTTTCTGTCCTTAAAAGAAACAAACATCAATGTGCTTTATTGCCTGAAAATTATTATCAGCTGTTAGAAGATGTAACTGTAGCTGGTTTTGACATTAGTCAAATTTTCTCATTTATAACTGTTGGCAGCTGCCTCAGGAGTTCCTTTGGAAAAAAACATGAACCACCTGAGGTTTGCTGGGTCATCTTGTGCTTAACATTTATTAATTGTTAATCCTAAGTAAGAAGTACAAAACCTGCATGTGCGTATTGCTGAGGCTCACAGTGTGGGAGTTAAAGGTTCCCACTGTCTGCAGATAATTTCTTACCTTTTATTGAAATATATTGAACAAGGCAGCTTTATTCCATCTCACTCTGAACTGAACCCCGAGCCTGTGAGGTGTCACCAAGCAGGCAGAGCAGTGCTTGTGTAGAGCTTGCTTCTGCTGGCAGTGTTTGCATTTTACAAGTGCTTGAACAGCATTTTTTTTTAACCAATTTTCTTGAACAAAGTATTTTTCTAAGCCTGGAAAGGCACATGAAAATTTCAGCTTGAAAATGTGCATTGCTTGCGGAGTGACCGCTGATGGCTGTGGAATGCTGTTTATCCGGGGGTTGAATCCCAGATAAGGGATTAGGGACACTGTTTGCACATATAACTGTCTTGAAGATAGCTTCAAAATGGTTTCAATCAGAGTAACAGCCCTGGAGAACCACTCCCTCCCAAATCTAATCTCATAGGCCAGTAACCACTGATGAGGTTACTTGAAAGACCACAGTCCTCGCAGAAGAGGGCTCGTTAATTAACGTGTTGCTGCCAATTCGCTTTTCACTTCAATTATGCTTTTTAATCCAGCACTGGGCTCCTTAAAGGACCTCAGGGGAGTTGGGCACCCAGCATGAAACACAGCTGGTTGAGCAGCTGGACAGCCAGCTCCTTGAAACCCTTTTGAAACGCCTAAGCTGAGTTTATAGATGATGGGGGACTGATTCATCCTCCCTTCCCTCTGTAAGGGGGAGATCCTACTGCAAATTTTGAATATTTTGAGATCCTATTGCAACTTTTGAAGAAACAGGCAGACTTAAGCAGGCTCAAACCCAAACATTAATTTTCAGATGTAGACATTTTTCATTCAGGCTAGCTGATTAATCTTTGGATGTGCTTTTGTGTGGTTCACACGAATTGCAGTGCTCTTTCATTTTGACTCGAGTAACAAAATGAACCTGAGCCTAGTTTGGACAGTTTTTTCTTCCCTCTAAAATTATCCTTAATCATGCAATATTTCAATGTATATGTACTTACCTACCTAGGCAGACACGTGTGTATGTTTGTGTATGCATACATGGATGCACAAGCTCACACTCAGTGCAAACTGAAAAATCAAAGCAGTAATCTGGAAAAAAGAATTACCCTCAGATTACAAGATGGCTCAAACATCCAGTGCTCTGAATATCACACAAGAATCGATTATATTTTATATTTTACCATTACTTGCTCCAAGTGCTGTCCCGAACGCTGCCTTTTTGCTAACCCTGTGGCCTGATTGTTCCCTCCTGAAACCTTCCCATCCAGCTCCTGAGAAAGAAAAGGAATACCCAGCCTCTCCAGACTACCTGGAAATAGCAATTTACTGCATAGGGGTGTTCCTGATAGCCTGCATGGTGCTGACAGTGATCCTGTGCCGCATGAAGAACACCCCCAAGAAGCCGGATTTCAGCAGCCAGCCCGCTGTGCACAAGCTGACCAAGCGAATCCCCCTGCGCAGACAGGTAACAGAAAGTAGATAAAGAGTTTCAAAAACCTTTTCTTAACCCCAACAACCAAGCCAGCACATCATTCCTGCTGAGGAAAGGGAAGTGAAGGAGGGAATTAATAAATTCTAGCAGATTGCGGTAGGGGTGGGATAGAGGGAAGGACTTAGCACAGCGATGGGCGTCTCAAGGAAATCAGGGTTGGGCTGTTAGGGAGGGGAGAAATGCAAAAAAGGAAATATGTTCTGTATTAGCAGTCTGGAGATGGGAAAAAAAATGTATTTCAAGTATTTTGGGGCCTGATCCCACAGCTTGTTGGAAAAATGTTACTGCCTTAATGGGCTTTGGAACAGAATCCTATTTAATTGTATATTTATGATGTTTCTAAGGTGATTATTATTGTAGTAACTAGGTACCAGATACAGAGAGGTATTTTTCAGGAAGACTTTTGAAGACCAAAAGGGAGGGAGTTTCATAGCCAGGCATCCAGAAAGCACCCCAAAATAGAAAAAAAGACTGTAATAAAGTAAAAATAGGGGAGATACTATATCAGATCTTGGACAGCTTGATTAAGATAATGATGCTTTTGAGCAAGAAACAAAAGCAAGTGCCAGATTTAAAATGCACACAACAGCATCACATGTAATACATTTAACAATTGTTTGTGGCTGGCAATGAGCAGTTCTGGAGAGGATGATGCCACGAGCAACAAACCAGTTGAACAAGTAACAGGACTTTGGCTTTATCACAGGCCACCACTTGCCAAAACAGCCTCCATTCCCACACACTGTCCTCTCCTGAAGGATTTGTGGTGTTTTTAGAAGGTGGAGTTGAATAGGTTTTGATTTTCTTGCCATAGGTCTTGAGGCCAGACCTCTGCACCCCCAGGTTTCAGCCCTGCAGGATGGGGGATGTTGGAATCTGAGGTTGGGGTTCACCTCAGCAGCAAAAAACACTGTCTGGGGGTGTTGGATCCAGGCTCTGCCCAGGGAATTAGGATGTGAGGGTTCACTTTGTGTCCCAGTGCACCATGAGTAAGTGGTGCAGAATTTCTGCAGATTTGTTTTTTGCAGCCTGTCCAGAATATTGTCACTGTCAGAGTAACAGAACCCTTAAAAAGGGTTCTTCAGCGTGGGTAAGTGTTTGAAATGAGATGCATGGGCACGCAGAGTGGGAGATTCTGAACAGTATTACATTTTTCTGGACCCTTGTTTCATGGTGTCTGAATTTCCTTGGTTAAAAATATCAAGGAGTGGAATGCTTTAGCTACCTTACTCTGAATTCAGTATTTTACAGAATCTTGAGGTAGGGCACCTGAACATTTTTCAATGTGAAACATATTTGGTTTGTCTTATGAGCAAAAAATGTTAATTCTGACTTATTTTGCCACTTTAGGATTTTTGGGGGGATTTTTTTTTTCTTTTTTTTTGGTATTGCTTTGTTTTTGTTTGGTTTTCTTTTCTTTGTAACTTTGATTTTACTTATTTGCTTGAGTATCACTGGGACAAAGAGGGACTTTTCACTCTGAGTGTGTCAGAAAGAGTGATGAGAAGCCCTTTTTTTTATGAGGAAAAAATTTTAAATTTTTTTTTTTTTTTTTTTTTTTTTTTTTTTTTTCTCTGACTTTCTTTGCCACTTTAGGATGTTTTTTGGGTGTTTTTTGCTTTTGGTTTTTTTTTTTTTGTTTTTTTTTTGTTTTGTTTTTTTTTTTTTCTTCTTTTGATTTCGCTATGCAGATTTGTTTTTTGCAGCCTGTCCAGAATATTGTCACTGTCAGAGTAACAGAACCCTTAAAAAGGGTTCTTCAGCGTGGGTAAGTGTTTGAAATGAGATGCATGGGCACGCAGAGTGGGAGATTCTGAACAGTATTACATTTTTCTGGACCCTTGTTTCATGGTGTCTGAATTTCCTTGGTTAAAAATATCAAGGAGTGGAATGCTTTAGCTACCTTACTCTGAATTCAGTATTTTACAGAATCTTGAGGTAGGGCGCCTGAACATTTTTGAATGTGAAACATATTTGGTTTGTTTTATGAGCAAAAATTTTTTTTTCTGACTTATTTTGCCACTTTAGGATTTTTGGGGGGATTTTTTTTTTCTTTTTTTTTGGTATTGCTTTGTTTTTGTTTGGTTTTCTTTTCTTTGTAACTTTGATTTTACTTATTTGCTTGAGTATCACTGGGACAAAGAGGGACTTTTCACTCTGAGTGTGTCAGAAAGAGTGATGAGAAGCCCTCAGCTCAACATTCACACATCTCTCTGGCTAGAAATCTGTGTGGCTTTCTGGACAAAGGAGGCCTTTCAGATGTTGTGTGCTTAGCCAGAGAGAGAGAGATACATATCAACTGCTTAGATAGGAGACATTTGTTAGATTTCTGCCTGAATATAAAAGCCTAATGACTCAGAGACAAGTTGATGGTATAAAAACTACCTAGGATTTGGTGTGAGCTCAGTTGTGTCAGCTGGAAATGGTTCCTCGGGGAGCAGAGTGTTTTTCATTTCATGTGACAGCAGTGCCAACCACTGCCCTCAGTTTAGCTATTTATCCTTAAATGATGCAATATGGACCTTCTCCAAAGCTATTGTTTTCACAGGGGAAAGAAACTGTCTTACAACATGTTTGTCACGTTGGGGCTTATCAATTTATTTCAGTATTTTTACACGGTTTTTAGCCAAAATGGCATTTTGCTTTTAAAACTGGGAATAGTTTTTTTTAAAGAAGACTTCTATTTAAAAGTTCAAATGCTATTTCAACCCCTAAGCAAAAATCCCACTACTCCCAATTGTTCCTGGTACTGTTTTGTTAGCAGCAGTTGCTCATTGAAGGTCTCTCTGCTTTTGTGTCTGCATGGAAGAAAATGTAACTACTGTAAGCATTGTCTGCAATCTGTATTTCTGGTTTGATGACTTCACTGGTCAGTTTGCAAAGGCAGGATGAGACAAGCAGTCCCTGAAGATTTGCTTGTGAATATTCCTTCATTTCTCCTTGGTGCTGAGGCTGCAGCAGCTCTTCAGTTTCTGCATCTTTTAAATCTGGTTTTGGATTTCGGGGCTGTTGTCACAAGCGAAGAATTGAAAAATAATCCAGATGTTTTATTTAAAGGGTGTGTGTTTCTGGATCATTCAACCCTGTTTTATTGTGCCACCAAGCTCACTTTGTTCCAGTTTATTTGTATTTCAGAGGATTGCATTTAAACTTGGTGGGGTTTTGTCACTAAACCTTTATTTCTCTGTGGATCAGAGAAGGTTTCCCTTTGTGCTGTGTGTGGGAGGGATGAGATGGGAGGATGGGAGGGAATGAGATGCTGGTGGCAGGTAGGCTGTGAGAATGGGGCTGGATCCAGGGCCGGGTGATGGGATTTGTTGGAATTCCAGAGAAATGAGGCCACAGATTGGGAAATTCTTGATATTGTTTTCAAAGCTCTTCTGCTGCTGGGTCAGGGTCCCTGAGGATCTGGGCTGGAAAATAATCCTGGTTCACAGAGAGACATTTGCACAGCTCTGATGCCATCTTGTCTAAGCAGGAGAAGAGTCTTGCTGAGTAACATATGGTTTGGTTTGGATCCTCCTGCACTGTTTAGCCTGAGCTACCACAGGATTTTATCATTCCCCACATGCAGGCATTTTTTCCCTGCCAAAATGCAGTTCTTTTCACATTCCTAGGAAGGATCAGGATGAAGTCAGGAATTATCAGCTCCCATCCCCTATAATCCTCATTCTCACCAGGACCTGGTACTCTGTTTTCAGTTTTTTCCTGGGAAATCCAGCAGGCAGCTCCTCTTTTCATCAAAGCAGTTTAAGAGTTACCCATGGTCTGTGTGGAGGTAGCAGCTTGAGAGGGAGGGGATGAAGAATTTGTGGGATTGAGCCTCACGAGCTGATTTGCAGGACAGGCTTTAAGAGACAGGGCCAACCAAAAAACCACAGAGTTGCCCTCAATAGGATGTACATCTCTTTTGTAGAACCTTTATTTTAACAGATTAATTGTAATTGAAGCAGACAAAAAGACAATCCCATCTCTTGTGACTTGCTCAAAGTCAAGTACAAATGTTTGTCATCATTTAAGGTTTTTGTTAAGGCTGTCACAGTCAATCTGTCAAATTTGGACCCCCTCAACATGCACGTGTCTTAAACAGGAAGCAGTGATCTTTTTTATGCTTTCTATTTAAAATACACTCCCATTAAGTTATGTCTGTTGTTGTTGTTGTGGAGTCTAATCCTTCATAGAGATGAAATGGGTGTAATTGTGATGAACAAAGACTGGTCAGTTTAAAGCAAGGCTTGAGCTTGCCCAGCAGAGTAGTTCAAAATGGTAGTTCAGTAATTCAAAATTATGATGGCAGCTGGAATGTGGAAAAAAAGAAAAGTGATCAGGAAAAAAGAAAGTAATATAGTATTTCATGTAATATTGAGCAGTAAAATCATAATTTTTTTAGGGGAATAGACTATGAAGTACAAAGATTAATACACAACTGTCAGTAAGATAATGTTGAATGGAATTTACCTTAGATATTTATTTTATTTTTTTCTTTATGCTCGGATTTTTCTGTGGAAACCACTGTCTTGTCTAGTGGTATTTATTGGATATTATTTTGTGTATAAGTGTTTCCAAATGAGTGCTTTTCATGGAGGGGTGGTGCATGTGTTTTAAATGTCAGTACTTAACATTAGGATTACTCAATTTTGTGTAGTGCATTTAACCTTGTATTTTCCTGCATCTGGTCACTCAGATGGGCTGTTCCTACCAGCAGCTAACAGCATTATTTGCTAATTATAATATACAAATATGCATATGATTTCAAATTAACTTTTACTGCAGAGCCTTCAAAAAGGCTGACAGTTATAGGAAATCACTGCATGCCTGCTAAAATGTCCCAGCATGAGTGCCAGAACTGACAGATCTGGGCTCCAGGACATGGTATGAATTATCAGTGGAGGAAAACACCCTTCATAATCAATTACAGACAATTACACACTGCTCTGCAGCTGATTTTGCCACATGGCACTTAAAGATTCCAGCAAAGATTTGTTTGTTTTAAATGCTCTGCTGCTTGGAAATGCTTGTAGAGCATTAACTGAGAGCTGGTTAACCACAGTGTGTTGGTCAGGGGAAGAAGATGTAGTGAAAATGGGGATGTAATCATGTATTGATGGGTGAGGTTTGGGTGCAGTGGGCTTTTCTCCTTCTCCAGTGCAGATTTGGAGTTAAAGGTCTGTCTGAGGCTGGTGCTGTTCTCACTTCTGGCCTGCTAAAAGCACAAAGGAAGCACACAAGGAATATTTTCTGGTGGACTCTGCCTTCCTGTTGAGATTAACATCTACCATAATGGTTCTTTCAGTGCTCTGCTCAACTCAAGCTGACTTTCACCTTTCTTTATCTAATTAAGGAATTAAATACCTCCCTAGAGCAGTGTCATCACCTAAACCAGGGTGTGAGCCCTGAGTGGGCCCCCAGGATGTTTAATTCACCTGTGTCAGGTGAACCTGCGTGGTGAGGGGTTGGAGAGCAGAGCTGCACGTGGCAAGCTGGAAAAAAGGAAAAAAGCATATAGAAAGCTGCCACTTAAATGTAGATTAAAGCTGACCATGTCTGCTGACCTTGGAATAGGTAGGATTTTCCTCAGTCTTTTATAGTATGCTGTAAGGCAGTGAAAAAAAATGCTCGAGGGAGGAGATCAAAGGTTAATTCTTTCTTATTGCAGGAAAGGTGAGAGGCCATTTCAAACCAGAAAATCTCCCCCAACCACAGGCCAGGCTGGGTTGGCTTCATCTTTTCTGGAGCAGATTTTTATAGCCCTTGAGCTGCTGTAACTCCTTGTACTGCTCCAGTTAATCAATCAGGAGAATATTCCCTGGGAGTGCAGTCCATTTGTCTTCTCCCAGACATGGAGTAGCTCCTGGATTTCTCATCATTCCTATCCATGTTAATGCACTTTGCTTGCCTCCAGTATCTCTGGCCCATCACACAGTTCTGCTGTGAAGTAAACACGTGGAGTAGTGTTAAAAGGGAAACTGGCAGAGCCTTTAATCTGCTTTTTTCTATACATTATTGCTATTTAAGCTCTGTGTTTAAAATGCATCACTGGAGTGTTTCAGTTTATTGCAAGTTTGTATTTATAGGCTTTATCCAGGCTAAGGCTGCTGAATGGTGAGTGTGAAAACTAGTGAAGAGATGGAAGAAATCCAGACAGTGTCTGGTACAATGATAGTATTCATGAAAAAAACCCAAACAAACAAACCAAAACCATAAAACAAAACTCCAGAACCCAAAATTCGGGACCATTTCTGATACCTAAGGTATCTAAATTTTGTAGCTTCACTTCTGTCCCTTGAAAACAATGGCTGTAATGGCAAAGACAGGTGCAGAAGAAAACGGAATGTAAATTAATAAAGAATATAAGAATCAAGACCTGAATAAATATCTTGGTAGAATGACTGGAGAATAGTAAGTAGATTTTGGAAATATGGAGGAAGTGGTCATAGAGTATTGACAGGTTTGTGGTGAGAGATGAAAAAATGGAAGCCAGAAATAACTGAAAAGTGGAATTCAGGAAAGTAGGGTTGGGGGCAGAGGAGCTGCCACACTGGAGATTTGCACATTTCTTGGTGCTGAGCTGGTTCATTTCATGAAGCATCATTTTCAAACTGTAGTGAAATAATGAAAATGAGAAGGAAAGAGGGGAAAAAAAAAAAAAAAAAGCAGATCAGATTCCAGCTTAGGTTCTCCTGCTGACTGGTCCAGGAGGTGAGTTCCCTTCTGCAGGCTGGGCATGGCAGCATCTCTCTCAGGATTCCATTCAGTATTCACTCACTGATTTATTTACAGCTCCATAGTCTGCCTTAATAGTGCTTTTCTGTTTGTGTCCCAAGTGGTCACTGGATTTATTTTCCTAGAGCAATGTGCCAGGTACTTACATTTGCTGAAAGTAAATATTAACATTCATGATGGTGGGATGAATGAGGCAGAAGCAGTCCGCCTTTCTTTTTTGAATGGTGGCCTTGTGTTTGTGCAGTTCACTCTCTCTTTCCATGGCCACATCTTGTGTGCAGGAGCTGTTTCACATATCAGGAAAGGTCTGTCAGCTGCTAATCTGGTTAACAAGATTAGTTTTTTGATAGCAACCCATAGCATTTTCTTCATTATGAAACCTCTTTCCACTCTTAACCTCTGGTTTTAGAAAGATGTCTTTTTAAATCTAATTTTGTGGAACAAAGCTGTAGCCTGGTGGCATTTTACATAAGCAAACCTGGTGGCAAAGTTGATCCTTATCCAGGTGATGAGGGTGTGGGTACTCTGGTGCTCCAGGCTTCCAGCTGGGTCCAAGAGAAGAACCTCCTGCTGCCTGGTGTGAGGATGGGTGCCAGTGATGGCTTTGTGACATCCTTCATCCCAGCCTGGCTGCCAGATTTGGGCTTAGCCACGACACGATTGTGGCGTGAAGAGAGGAGGAGGATTCACACTGGGGAGGGGAAGACTGGCAATACAAGCATTTCTATTTTGTGTTACTGTTCACTTGAAGCTCTGAGGGCAGCAGATGTCAGGCTGCTGCTTGCAGGCTTGAGGAAAGAGCCTTACAGAAGATTCACACCAAAACAAATTACGTGGATGGAGCAGCAATCTCTTTTTTCAAAATATTTATCAATAAGTAGCTTTGCTACTCTAAGGAAGATACTGGAGCTGATGAGAAATCACACTCCAGAGTTTCAAAACGGAGTTATTTTTAGGACCTCTTCCCCACATTTCCTGTAGAGTCTTTAGCTAAGAATGTAGTTAATTGAAAACTGAAGTGTTGTGATAGCTTTTTGATACTTTCAGTATTGAGTACTTGGAAAATAGAAACTAATAGAATCATATAGGCTGGAAAAGACCTTTAAGATCATTGAGTCCAAATGTAAGCCGTGCCAAGACCACCACTAAACCATGTCCCACGTGCTACATCTACACATATTTTAAATCTCTCTGAGGTTGGTGACTCCACTACCGCCCTGGGCAGCCTGACAGTCCATCCATTGAAGGAGCTGTTCTTAACATCCAATCCAAACCTCCCCTGGAGGCCATTTACTCTTCTGCTATTGCTTTTCCTTGGGAGAAGAGATGGAGCCCCACCTGGGTGTGCTGATTTGGGAAAAAACGTGGTGACATGGACAACTAGGAGTGGAAAAAGAGAACTTATTGGTCACCTGCTCATGATATAAGCTGATCACTTGGATATCTGAGGGTAGTGATGTAAATACTGCCAGTTTATTTTAAAAAAAATTAATATGATAAACAAAAATAACTTCTGAGGGAATAAATTAAAAGCTTACATGGTTTTTGATTTATGGGACGGACTGACAGTATTGGCAGCCATTACAGCAAGTATTCTCCTTAAAGGGAAGGCAAAACGTGAGAACAGAGCACTAGATTCAAGACTCTAGATTCAGCCACTTCCTAAAACAATGGTTCTGAGCTGGCTTGGTATCAGGTGCTGGTGGTTTTCAGATTTTGGGCCAAGATTACATCTCCTTTGTTTTTTTTCTCTTGTTGCATCTTGCATTGCAACCACAGGTGTCGGCCGACTCGAGCTCCTCCATGAACTCCAACACGCCTCTGGTGAGGATCACCACCCGCCTCTCCTCCACTGCTGATGCCCCCATGCTGGCAGGAGTCTCGGAGTATGAGCTGCCAGAAGACCCCAAGTGGGAGTTCCCAAGAGATAAGTACGTGGCTTGCTTCCTCTGACACCACTCTAGAAGTGTATCTGAGGAACCTTGAACAGCATGGCAGGAGGAAGCATCCCTCCTCGTGTCTCCCAGGGTTTCACTGGCTTAAAGAAAAATCCCAGTTACCTGAAGCTGCTCTGAAGATCAAGATTCAGTCTGGTTGTCTGAAATCAGTTTGGTTAAATAGAAATGAAATTTCTCTTCCTGCAGCCCCGATTATATTTTCAGATTTCTTGCAGGTTTTGAGACTCTCTTCTGATGTAGTTCCTCTGGTAGGAAATAAGTTAGGAAAATTTGATGTGATCTAGACTGGGAAAGATATCCACATGCAAGCACTGATGAAAGGCAATGGTGATTTCCCCAAGCAATACCTCTGAATATTAAATCATATTTCTTAGTCAACTACTTAATTAGCTAATATTTAAAAAAAAACAGATAATATAATATGTAGGACATAGAGAAAGTCTAAATTATGCTATTGGACAATCTTTTCTTTCTGTCATGTCTCTGGGTAGGATTTGGTGTTGAGTTTGTATTGACATGTATTAATGGAGATGATTATTTTTAATTTAGGGGAACATTTTGAACATTGGGTGCATGTATGTGCAATTTCTGTGGCTTAAAAGTGTTTGGTTTCAAGCAGAGCACGCTAAATTTTGATATATTCAAATTCATATGGCCACATAATATTTTCTTCAAAGTCTGTTGCCTAACATGCAAAATGAGCTTCTGGATAATCTAATTAAAACTGTAATCGTATTGCTTAATATAGAAAAAGACATGCAAAAGAGAGATAATGTTAACAAAGGTAGAACCATGATTATTTATCAGAATTAGTGCTTGCTTTAAGAAGTCTTTAGGTGGCTTTGAGAAGATAACACCTTTTATCATGGACAGTTCTCTTTGGAAGTTCAGTAACTTTTGAATAGGCGAACTGTAATTTTGAGCTTTCTGATAACTCTTCTGGAAATTATTTGATTGGTTTAGCTGAAAACGAGAGCAAAAGGCTGTAATTGCCACCTGCAGCATTCTGGTCAACAGTGGAGGCCTGTATATGTGCTCCTGTCAGCCCATGCCCTGGGGGGATCCACTAAATGCGGAAAATTTTAGAGTTGCTAAACATTTAAACCCGGTGCTCAGCACAAATGTAGGTGGAGCAGATTTGCAATGAAAGGAGGCTATTTAGAGGCAGTTTATTAGGCTGGGGGGCAGCAGGCACACAATGAGGGGTTTGTAACTTTGGTCCTAGCAGGGCAATAGCACATAAATTAACCAGTTTCCAATGCAAATGTTTGTTCTCTGCCAAGACCCTAAATTCAGTTTTAGCTCTGGAGAAAAGGCAGGGTGACCTCAGCACAGCATATGCTGCCCTTCAGTCTTTGCACCTTTTTAAAACTTGCATTTGCTTTAGAAACCAGCCCAAAACAGCTCAAGGTATTCTCACCCAGCCAGAGCCCACATGTCACAGCGTGAGCTGGCTGCCCTCGGGAGGAGCCACCTCACTTCTGTCCCGTGCCCAAGCAGATAAGCAGGGTGAATTTCAAATCACTTATCCCTCATCTACCATTCCTGATGATGGCTTCATAGCCTCTCCCTGTACTTCGTGGTGTCCATGCTTTTAAGAATGAGTCCCTACATCTGTGATATCTGTGAAATCCTCCTGTTGACCATGGAAAGTCAAGTCCTTAAGAATTTGTTTGCAAAAATGCTTGAATCTGACCCCTATGTTGGATAACACTGTCAGCATCACACTCACTGAGCATCCTCCCTGCATCGCTGCTGCATCACTGCTGCTGGATGTCACAAGGTATTCTCTGCAAGTAAAGGAGCCTGGCTCTGTCACTTAAGCACTTAGGCTGGAATCAAAAAGATTTTGCCCAGAGGCTTTCAAGTTTATTTTTTATTTCATCTCTTTCTCCTCATGAAGCTGAGATCCATGGCTCTGTGTCTGTCTGTTAGATCTTAGCAGGTTTTGCAACCAGGAATATGCTCCTCAAAATGCATTCTGCAGAGCCCACTTAGTGAGTGCTCCTTTTAGGAGGGTTTGATGTTGGTGATGTGATTACAACCAAGTTTATTTTTGCCAGTCTCTGCCTCCCCTCTCTGAGCAGAGCCTGGGCTCTGCAGGCAGGAGGCACCTTCTGGTCCCCTCAGCCAAGACTCTTGTGGCTGCAAAGAGCCTGCAGCCAAGAAAGAGCCACTGTGCTGGACCCTCTGTGGCTGAAACTTGACTCCCACCTCTTGCAGTCAGTGAAGACACAAAGATGACCAGCCATGTCACAGTGACAGGAGACGCTGGCCTGTTGCTGGCTGCTCCCCAATTCCAGCCATGCTCCGATGCTCTTTCAAAGCTCTGCCCCTCCACACTGCATCTCCCCACAAGCCATCAAGTGCAGCCTTGAGGAGAGCTTAAAATCTGGGTTTAGTGACTGATGTGCCTTTCTGAGATGCTCACTCCACCACCCCTAAGAAAACACATCCCGGCGCGCGCGGAAACCGACGCGCACCCAGGCCCTTATTGCTTCCATATGATAAACGCCTCACGCTGCAGCAAGTTGTTGAAAGGTTTTTAGTTGAAAGGTTTTTATATTTAGCCCTGGAATTTCACTGGCTGCTCCCCTGCAGCAGATGCTGTGTGTTAATCTGCTGTTTGCACCTCCAGGCTGACGCTGGGCAAGCCCTTGGGAGAAGGTTGCTTTGGGCAAGTGGTCATGGCCGAAGCGGTGGGGATTGACAAAGACAGGCCAAAAGAAGCAGTGACCGTGGCAGTGAAGATGTTGAAAGGTAAGAAAATTGGGTGATTAGGGATCAGAAGGGGTAGTGTGGCATCTCTCAGCCAGAGAATTTTCTTTTGTGGCATCTGAACTCCGTCATCGTTGCGGGGTGGGTCAAAGAGCACATAGCTGACCTCAGCCTTCAGCAGTGTGGGGTGTAAATCTGCACCCTTGACAGCCTGTTTATCTTGAGCAGTGAGTATTTGGGAGCCAGGAGATGTATTAGCATCATGTGGGTCTCTCTGCTTTCAGTTTATTTCATGTCAGAAGCTATCCTTGCATAGATCTGAGCCCATTCAGTCCAGGTGGTTGATACCAATTTATTTTGAATTTAATTGTAAGGTTAGTTTGCAGGAAAGGCAGTGTTATTGGAGATTTGATAGCTAAGGACAGCTTTTTTATGTCTGGTCTTGCTGTGCTTTTTTATGTCTGATCTTGCTGTGCTGCCTCTTTACATAATAACACTGAAGAGTTGGTCAGTCCACTAAAGAGGCTAAGACTATTTTTTGGCAGGCCATAATATATGATGTCCAGTGTAAACTGGAAAACAAATCCCATATTTTGCATTTTGAGCCACACATATTTTACACCAACTGATGAGCCTTACTGAAGCTGAGGCTGGACACTAAAATATATGAACTGAACCTGTGTCTTCTACAGATGATGCCACAGAAAAAGACCTATCTGACCTGGTGTCAGAGATGGAGATGATGAAGATGATTGGGAAGCATAAAAATATCATCAATCTTCTTGGAGCCTGTACCCAGGATGGTGAGTAGAGAAAAGAAAGTAAACCAGGACTTTCCAGCAGGTCTGTGAAAGACTCATTAATCATAATTTTTCAAGAGGTTTTAAGGAAGCAGTCATGCCGTGATAGGATTTCTAGGTATTTCTTTAGCTTAACAGCAATATTTTAACTTCTGTTTCTCATTATAGTTGCAGCCTTAGTATGAGAAAGGGTCCTGTATCATATGAAAACTCTCTAATCCCTTGCTGTAAGGAACAAATGACCTTTTGCAGGGCCTTTACCCATGTCTGCTGTTCTGAATTGTCAGCCCTACTTTAGAAGAACTTGCACCCCACAAATTTGAAATGAGTACTTTAATTCCTGGAAAAGCTAATTATTCTACATAAAGTGATGCAGAATGGCATAACATTCTGGAAATTAGAAAAAATAAAATTTAAGAAGCACTTTCCCTTTGTTGGAGATCTCAGGCTATTTTTTGATTGAAAATATTTGTTTTTCAGTACATAGCATGGTCTGAAAAGAACAGGCACTGGGGCAGGGTTTAGGTACTTTAAGGCACTAATTGTGGCTCTGCCACTCCTGCTGTGGAGCTTTGGGCAATCACTTCCCCATATCCAAACCTTCTGTTTTTTAAGGTGGTGCTTGCCACTTTCCCATTTCATTGATTCATTTATAATTTATTATAGCGCACTAAAAGCTTTCTTTACATAAAAACCATTTTACCCTGGTAACTCACCCTGCTTTTGCCATGGTTCTTTTCATCCCAAGGCCCTTTGTACGTGATAGTGGAATATGCTTCCAAGGGGAACCTGCGGGAGTACCTGCGAGCGCGCCGCCCGCCCGGCATGGAGTACTCCTTCGACATCAACAGGGTGCCCGAGGAGCAGATGACATTCAAGGACCTGGTGTCCTGCACCTACCAGCTGGCACGAGGCATGGAGTACCTGGCTTCCCAAAAAGTAGGCGGAACTCAGCAAATACAGGGCTTTTTTTTTTTCAGTTTGATTTTGTCCTTGTCTCGTTCGCATTCAGGAATTTGCTGGGAGAAGGAGCTGCCTCCAAGAAGTTGTGTAATCCACACCCCTGCAGATCAGTGGGGAAATTGATGCACTTAAAGGTTTTTCATCTTTGTTTAGCAGTATTGCTGAAATGAGGCCAGGAGTGGATCATTTAAAGTAAATGCTGTGCACGTATCTGCAGTTTGAATCCAGCAGCACAGGTGGTCACTTGGTCACACGAGTCACATCACTCCAGCCATGAGGCAGCAGGCTCTGTTTGCCTTCTGTTTCCAGTCAAACCAACCAAATCCTTTCACATCATGGTGTAGATAAACTTATTTCAGTGGCTGAAAGGACTTACAGAATAACAACAGGCAGGGTTGAGAAGACCCAAGACAGCAGGGCGAAACAGTGGGAAGAAGAGGCAAAAATTAGTGGAGTGTATTAGTCACTTGAATTACACACTTTACTGTAAACTGGTGTTTTCAGAAGAGTGAGCTGGGTGAAAGGATTTATTTATCCTGTCATGTCCCCAGACACTTATTTCTAAAACTTGCCTTCAAACATTTCTTTTTAACCAGCATTTTGATTAAATCATAGCTATAAAACCTTAAATAGCCCTGTATAACTAACTCTGTAAACATACTGTGGCTTAGTGGACGAGCAATCCTGGATACCCTGGGTGATGTTTGGACCCAAAGGCTAAACCAGAGCAGCAGATAGCAATGATAAGTACTTCCTGCAGGGTGTGGAGTGGTTAGTGGGATTTATACCGATTTCCAGTCATGTCCACTCCCAAGTATGGAGCTGTTTTTAACCAAAGAACAGGGCTGAGTGTAACCCTCCATTCCTGTTGTGTGGAGTCATTATTTTGTTATTGTTTTTTCTGCACTTGTAGAGGTTGGGGAAGAGAGGGAATCCAGGTTTAATGTTGCTTTTATTTTTTTTGTTTTGAACAGTAAATCTTAGCTCAGCAGGGTGACGTTTGTGACAGCGAGGCACAGCTCTTCTAATGGAGTAAAGCAGGGGTATTGATTAGGTGACACACCTCAGGATATCTCTCTCTGAAATTATTGCAGCTCCTGCCTGGCAGTGAGCCACGTCCCAAGAAAAGAGAGCTGATGTGAAAGGAAAACATAAATCTTTTCATTGGCCGTCTTGAGAGCAAGTGTCCTCCTGAGGAGCTCTGAAGTGCTGCTGTAGGACACTCCCAAGAGCCACTGCAGTCCTTTTTGTTTGCAAAAGCACTTGGTTGGTGCTGTGCTGAGCTGGACAGGTTGGGAGGCATTGCCCAAGGCAGAGGGAGAACAGGGGCAGCACAGAGTCGAGCTGTGCATTCCTGTGCTCCAGATATCCCACCACTTCTGTTTGTATTTCAAACAGAAAGTTCCTCTCCCCTTAGGGATCCATTTACTGAGCTGGAATAATAAGAGAGGTGCTCTTCTCATGGTATTGCCATCATGCATGAGCTGTGAGAAGGGCAGTGTTCTTGTTATTTCAGTCCAATAAAGGGGCTCACTGAGACTTCAATAATGAAAGTGGTAAAGGTGATGTTTGTTCACCTACCCTTTGCCTCACAAGAAGTTTTTGCCTTACAGGCAGTTGTACTTAGAAACAGTATCCCGTTTCCAAGGTTGGATGGATTATTTTGAAAGTAGGAGGCTTGGCCCATGTTGTTTCTGCCCCCACAGCATTGCTGATGCTGAGTTAGAGGACTGATGGGATGCTGAAATCATGCACTGTTGGCTGGTCCTGTGCTCATGAAGGCATTGCTGGAGCAGGTTTTTCCTGGCAGTTCCCCATGGCTAACCCGGTGAGGAGCAGAAACTTCATTTTACCCATGTGGGATAAGAGATCTCAGCAGCTTGCTGGGGCAAGAAAACACCAAGAAGAAATACTGGTTGTTATGTAGCTTTCTGTAGTGTGTCTATGCACAAACTGAAATAAAACATACAATGTCAAAAGTTATACACTACTGAGGAGGGAAAAAATATATTTAAGTTGAAAATAAATAAAATATCCTGCTGGGATTCAAAGTGCAGTGTTTCTTACCATGCCCTCACTGCCATCTTGTATCAACCCTAATAAAACTACTTGAACACAGGAATAATACCCAGAGCAGTCACAGAGTCCCCTCAGTGTCAGGATAATGCTGACATGAAGGAAACATCTCTCAGGAGGTAATAGTTTTGATACTGAAACTAAACCTATCTTAAAAACAAACACTGATTGCTTTGTTTATTTTTTTTTCTCTTTTCATAATTGCATTTTTATAGTCTTGTGGTTGAAATAATTATACACATCCTAGACATCCTGCTCACAATTATATATCTTTACTATGAAAAACAGTGGCACTGAGTTAGACTGGATCTCTGTTTTATCTCTGGTGAGACAATATAATTTAGGAGAAGCCACACAATAAAAATGTTCATTAACAGTACTTCTGATTAAACTGTATACCTGTACCTGGGCACATGTTAAGGAGAGTGAATCACAAAATGCTTGGCACAACCTGGGTCACCACCCAGCTTTCAGCCTTAGCAAAAATATAAGATTTAAGCGGACCAGGACTTTCTAAGACACTTCTTAGAGCCATTGTTCAGCTTGGAAACACCAGCTGAGAGGATGGATTGCAATAATTAAGAAAATCATATTTCACAGGCTTGTAGTGAATGTGTGGATTTTCCACCTTGTCATTTAGGTTAAAATCTATAAAGGAGATTTAGTTGTGGTGTTGAAGCACTTCCACTTTTGCTGCAATTTATTTCAGTGGGCTGTTTTTTTCTTCTCTTTTGTTTCCAGTGCATCCATCGAGACTTGGCCGCAAGAAATGTTTTGGTAACAGAAAACAATGTCATGAAAATAGCAGACTTTGGTTTAGCCAGAGACATCAACAATATAGATTATTATAAAAAGACTACTAATGTAAGTGGATGGTTTTCTAATCTCTGGAAACAAGTGTTTCTTTCAGTGATTCATTTCAGAACTATGGCTGTAACCTTAATGGGCTTCTTGTACAGCAGACTCACTTTTCATCCCAGACAAAAAAACAGGGATCAGGGACGTGAGCATTTCTGCCTCCTCTTACAGGGATAGTTTGTTAAAAAGCTAAGCAAAGAGGCTGCATATTGGAGGATTAGAAATGCTAAAATACAAGAACTTTTTTTCTATTGTGTCCCTGACTCCAATAATAAGTTGTAATAAGTGGAAATAGTCCTGCTGATCCCAGCTGGTTTAGCACCCAGCCTAGGATCTTGCAATACAAACAATTCCAGCAACAACCACAATGAAAATCCTGTTTACTTGTGGTGATGTCACATTCAGCCTTCTACCTGTGCTTGTACTTAACTTGTTAGGGACAGGTTGTGGTGGTGATCTCAAAGTGGGGCTAGAGATAGAGAAAATTTATTTGTACTCCCCACACTGTCAATATTTTGCTGGTAAACCTGTACCAAATCAGGAAGATAAAACATTTGGGATGTAGCATTGATACCTGGTTTGAGCTCCTTACACCTCCTCAGGGGATCTCTTAAGGTCCTGCTGAACTGCACTTGGGTTTTGATGGGAACTCTGCAGAACCCATTGAGTTCTACAGATTTTATTTGTATAAATATGACTTCTTATTAACAATCACGTTAAGTGGCTTATTTATGAAAATCACTTGAGTGATTAGTGGCATTTTAATGGAAACAACTGCCTACTTCCAAAAGCCAGAACCATCACGTGGGGCAGTGTTGGAGGGGATTGAACCTTCTTCATTTCAGACTCAGTGCAATTCCCAGCTCTGTGTGTGCAAAGCAACAGGCAGCTCTGACCGTGAGCTTTGGGTCACTGCAAAAGGGACAGGAAAACAAAATTTTTGGGTTTAGTAATTAATTTATTTTTGCATGCAGGCTTGTTTTTCAGAAGTTTATTAATTGTGGGGATTTTTGTCTTTAAAGAGCTGTAGCAGAATGATACTTTTGATTTTGATCTGCTTATCCCATCATTCTCCTAGCAAGCAGTCTGGGAAATTTTTGGGAACTCTTAATTGCTTTTAATTTTATCTTCAATGCTTGTATCCATTTTTATAACAATCTCTGTACTTTAGCCCACGTTAGCGTTCTCTCACTGAAAATGTTCAAGGTGAATTATGTGCTGGTTTGCTTTAGCAGACAGCTCTTAGAGAAATCATCCTGTAAATTGCTGCCATTTTAATTTCTCTTCCTTTCCAAACTCACAGGGACGGCTTCCAGTAAAGTGGATGGCTCCAGAAGCTCTCTTTGACAGAGTTTACACACATCAAAGTGATGTGTAAGTGGCCTGATTTCAATGGGGTTTTGGGGATGGGAAAGGTGGGCTGGTGTTTTGCTTTGAGTTTGGTAAAGTTTGGGGTATTTCATATGTGTTTTGCTGTTGTCCTTTACCTTTAAGAGTTTTCATTCTGTTTCACATATTAATAGACGGAACAGGACTTGCCCTTAGAAAGTGAGGATTTTATGGTAGACTGCTAACCAGTGCTCTGTTACTAATCTGCCCAGCTTCAAAGCACATGAAAGGTGGAAAATACTAACCTCCTTCTGTCACTGCGGAAGTTTCCCCCCTTGAACTTATTTACGGATGTGCAGCTACAAAGAATCTATATAATTTGCTTGCCTTTTGACATGCTCTCTGGACTTCCTTCAGGTTTGAAAAAATAAAAGGAGAGAGAGAAAAGAACGACAAAAAAAGAAAGTTCCTGAAAACTTCTTATAAAAATCTGTACTGAGATTTGGTGCAATAAAATGTAGGCTGGGTATGCTGGAAAAGTTTTCTCTGATTTTCATAAGTGGTGTTGCTTCCCAGCAGTACTTCACATGTAATAGGAAATAATTGGACTCTGACACTTCAAAAATCTTTTAATGTGTGTGCAGAGCCACTGGCTGATGCAACTGCTCAGGATTTATTCTGCTTCCTATTACAGTTCTGTGTGCTTGAAGTAGACGTTTATTTCTTATGCAATACAGATGAAGATTCTGTTTTTTATTTCTCCAAGAAAAGCTATTAACTGTAAAGGGCTGAATGCTTCCCAGCAGAGGAGCAAAAGGTTATGCAAGTCAGTGCAGGGTTAAAAAGGAAAAAGGCAGGATGGAGAAAATAAGAAGTATCTCCTCTTCCTTTAACCTGGGTGCAGTTTCCAAGCTGCTCTTTCCTTATGAAAATCATTTACTGAGGCGTTTCCTGCAATCTCTACATCATTTACAAAGGAAACTATATACACAGGTTAAGGGTGGATCAAACTTGTGTTTTAAAATAACATCTTGGCAAAATATTTAAGTGAACGTGAAGTAAACCACTTCACTGGCTCGGGGCTGAGAGTCAGCCTGAGCTCCTCAGCAGCCAGGGAGCACGAGGATTTCAGTGCTGGGACTTGGAGACTCTTGGCCCCATGGTGGCTTTGAAGATGGCTAAAGATAATATTATTGTAAGTTTGTGCAAACTGTTTACTAAAGTACAGAGCTGGGGGAGCTGCAGAGGAGCTGGGGAGCCAGTGCAGGCTCTGTGCTGGTGCTCACCTGGCAGAGCTGCCTGCCACAGAGCCCCAGCTTGCCAGCCAGGCAGGATGAGGCAGGAAAACTGGCTTAAAATTTATTCCCCTTCATATCCTAGCAGAAGTTAGCAACAAAAGAGAAAAAAAAAAAAAAAAGGCAGGGTGACGCAAAATATTTTTGTTTTGAACAGTCTGCTTTTTCCAAAATATCCTGCCACATAATTGCACCCCAGCTGAGCTGTGAGGGCTCTGTAAGTCATTAAGCTGTGAAGATGCAGTGCTCGGAGCACACCAGACAGAGAAAAAGAGGGTATTTGGGAAAATGCTGAGGTCAGTCCTCATCCTAAATGCTGTCCATGTAGCTGATGCACTTCCCAGATCCCCGTCCTGTTCTGGGCAGGCAGACCTGGGCAGAGCCTGGTTTAAACACCTCTGGGAGGGATGGGATTCTCTGTTTCCAGGCAGGTCTACTAATGCAGTTTTCTCTTTGATTTGCAGTTGGTCATTTGGTGTGTTAATGTGGGAGATCTTCACCTTAGGAGGGTCACCCTACCCAGGAATCCCAGTGGAGGAACTTTTTAAGCTGCTTAAAGAAGGGCACCGGATGGACAAACCTGCCAACTGCACCAACGAGCTGTAAGGACCCTGGTTTGCTGTGCCAGGGCTGAAGGGCACAGCCGTACTGAATTCATGTGTTTACAGCTACCCCCAGAAGAACCACACACTTTCAGAAGTGTTTGGCTCTAAAATTCAGGATATTTGTGAGGGTATAGATGTGTAAGGAAAAGGCAGGGGAAGGATTTCAGGAAATGTTTGGCAGAGGATGCTTCTTTGCACACCCTGCTGTGATCCTATTGCAGAAAGAAGAAATCATCAACAAGTCAGTCTCTGTCAATGTTTTTACACACATGTTTGTTTGATTTTAATGTTACTAACATGGAAATTCATAAATGTTGCATATACCACTAATCAAATATGAGGTACATCAGGCTGCTTTTGTACACAACAAAATACATCTGGGAACTCCTGTGTGAACACAGCATTATCTCCTGGTGGTGTGGAGAGTGTGATTTCAGGTATTCCAATACAGACCTTAACTATATTTACATTTTTTTTTGCATTTTAATTTCTTCACAAAGGCTGCAATCCCCGACATGCAAAAAATATTGTAACTTAATGCCTTTGAAGTTGCTGGGCCACAGAATTGGGCCCACAGAAGGTAATTTAGACACTGAGCAAGGGAGAGACAGGAGTAGGAAGCCCCTCTGAGAGCAGGGAGTGTTGCCCAGGTTTGGGGATTTTCAGTGGTCCACGAGCAGAGCTGTGTGTGCTCGCTGCTTTCCTTGTGAAGGGCAGCACTGACTGTGCATGGAAAGGTTTGTGAGGAGGATGTATGATTTTAATTAAGCCAAGCAAATGTGTGTTTCTTCCAGCTATATGATGATGAGAGATTGCTGGCATGCTGTGCCTTCTCACAGACCCACTTTCAAACAGTTGGTGGAGGACTTGGATCGGATCCTCACTCTCACAACTAATGAGGTAGGTAAATTGTCTCCCCCCCCACAAGCTGCTGGTCGGGAAAAATGGTTCAGGGGACAGATGGAATTTATTCAATTATGAAATCCTGCCCAAGTTCACTCCTTATTCTGTTTGTCATTGTCCTCTGAGGTTACACGCAGCTAAGCTATGTATCCTATGAAATCCTCGGTCTCCTGCCATTATGCCTGGAATTATGTAACTAAAAAGAAACACATCTTTGAGGAGTTGTGTTTATTTCTCGCTGCATCTCTGGATGTTTTTAGTGTCGAGGGACGGCACGTGGCAGGTTGAGGGGCAGTGTTTGTGTTTCAGCAGGAATTGCACGTGAGGGAGGCGTGTGGAGTTCGTGGTGGTTCTCATTTGCTGGCTCAGTTTGATTCCCAGCCATGCTATGTAGGTCAGGAGAGGAGAAATCGTCAATGGCAGATTTCAGATGATGTGTCTGAGAGTGAATTAGGTTCACTGCAATAGCTCTCTGTGGAGGCAATGAGGACCCACGGGGGATGTGCAAACAGCCATCCAATTATCCAAAGGTCCTGCCTAGCACTGCTGCAGGTTGGGGTATGTGAATGCAGGAAGGCTTTATTTGAAGAGCGTTCTTTCAGAGGTCTGAGATATTATTAGTTTTAGCAAGGAGCACACTGATTAGGGTATTCACACAGGAATCAGTCCTCTTATCACTGAACCACGTGCATCTTTGAGGAAAATCACAAGTGATGGAAATGTTGATTCTTTTGGTAGAAATTTCTTTTGAGAGACAATACTTGGTGTCCCAGAAATATTCTACAAACTCCTATTACTTCTGAGAAATGAAATGTCTAATGGGAGCAAAAAAAGAACAAAGCAGTTACACAGGAAAGTTGTAACAACTTGATTTGACCATGTCAAAACAAGATTTTTGTATTTGTTGTTGCTTCTTTGTAGGAAAAAAAAAAGAAATTTAAATCACTCTACATGGCTCCTCAACATTATGTTCTAATTTTTTAGAATTGTCAGAGAAATAAAAAATGGATTGTGGAGCAGCTTTGGGAAAGCCTTTTCACAATGGAGATGACAGGAGAACCTGAGTAAAGAGGTGGTGTTTTTTATGATCATCATTTTCCCAGTAGATCTGGCTGAAAAAGATTCTTCGGCTTCAGTAACAGCTGTAAATTTATCTGGGTTCTGTTTTTAAGGCTTTCTCTAAAAAGTGGCACCTTCAGGGCTGGCTGAGAGATACGGAAGGATATGCTGTCTCTGTGGAGCCATGGATGTAGCTCTGTGTCCTGTTACCATTTTCACCTCGTCCAGTACTCTCTGCATCTTTCCTGCCTAATTCATGTATGATTTCACAAGACCAGTTGGAGGTGGGCTGGCTGCCACTGCAGAGTGCTGGGTGGCTTGGACTGGATACGTGTTTGCAAATTCAAGAGGGAGGTTCTGGGCTGCAATTCCAAGCCTGGGAAGGGATATTGCTTTCTTTTTTGCGTGTGTTTAACCGTTGAGCCTTCCCAACCCCGTACCGCTCATAGACCTGGAATGATCTCAAAGTTAACCTGAAAAGGCCTTTAGGGTTATGTAAATTACTTTAGACTAGAATCATAGGAAAAACGTCTGGAAAAAGCTTAGGAACACGTCCAGTCCATCTGATGGGCCTATGGCAGGGCCCACTATACGTTTGTCATTCCTGACAGATGTTTATGTAACTTGTCCTTACAGATCTCCACTGCTGTATTTCGGCATCGCCTCTTGACAGCTTGTTGCTTTGTTTCCCTAATCTCTAATCTTTCAACATCAGATATTGCTTTTGTCCTATTTACCCTGGACATAGAAAGCAAATCATTCTGCTTGTCTTCGCAGCCCGTTTCATGTTCCTGAGTGCTTGTCGTCATCTCGGTGTCTCCTGAGAACTCCAACGTGTCCCGTTTTCCTCCACAGCTTTGGAGATCTCTAATTCTGTGTAATCTGCATGGTCTTCCTGAAGTGCAGGCCCTCCAGGCTCACTTCTGTTTATCCTCTCCCCACTCTCCCTTTCCCCACAGAATAACCCTGGCTCAGTCTGGTTTACCCAACAACTCATTTTGCTGGGGTAGCCAATAATTTCTTCTGCTTTTGTGCAAGTAATGATTTCCGCTTAAATAGTAACATCTCGCTCTTTTTCATGTTGAATCATCTCTTGTTGTGTTTTTAATGTGTTTTCTTGCTGTTTTTTTTTCCCCCAAAAGACTCTCATTCCCATGTTTCTGTGACCCACGTGTGCAGAAGTCACCAGGAGTCAGCCTTGTGGCTGTGGTGCTTTTGTCAGCACCAGAAGCCAGCCTAGCGTTGGTTCTTGTGCCCCTTGGTGTGACTCTGGCTATTGACACTGGATAAGGACCCTATCTACAATACTGAATTCATACCTGAGTTACATCAAGTCTTCTGATGTGATGAGCCATGTCTGATAGCCCCTGGGAAAGCCCTGTTTCTTCAAAGACTGGGATCCTTTCTTCTTCAGTCTATTTAGAAAATGTCTGATTATTTCTGCTCATGCAGGGCTGATTTGCTAATCCACAAATATGTATCAGGATTGCCCTTGTGGATTCTTCAAGAGCCTGGGCAGTCACGGAGTCAGTAATCAATACATCCAAACTCCCTCCTTTTGGTCCCTATTAAATTTCCCAGCATTTTAAAACATGCCACACCCTCCTTTTAAAATGGTGACCATTTTTAAACTCTATGATGGTAATGACTGAATCTCTGACTTAAAAAAGGAATGTTAGCCAGAGGACTAAATTACCCCAAACATAAGCACAGCACCATAAAATACTGACTGAGGTGGAAGACTCGTCTCGTCAGTACGATCATAACTTGTGGTTTAGCAAATGAAGAGATTGCATTTAAATGAATGCAGCTGTCTTTAGAAGTTGAAAGAGAAGGAACATTTCAAGGGGAAAAATAACTTTATTCTCTTGCCAAAACTGTTGTTTCTAGCAAAAGAGCTTTAACCCAAAACTTGGATTCAGCAGATGATATTTCCTTTTTTAATGACTGCTTTGGTCATGGCTACTCTGGGATGCACAAGACACAAATATGTAGTGTCAAAAACCCAAATCGTGTGAATTTGATTTTGTTTTTCCTTCAGATCTTTTTTGCACGTATGCCACTGCATGTTGAAACACAAATTTAATATCACAGAATATAAAACAGAGATTCAAAGTGACCAAAGGCATACAAAGTTGGAAGCGTCTTTCCCTCTCCAAATCACTACCATGTGCTAAAGAAAAATGGTTCTATTTAGGATGAAATTTCATTTTTATCATTGCAAGTGAAAAGCCCTCTTTTGATGTGGTTGCCATGTTTATTCCCACTGACACAGCTAATGCTGGTGATGTTGGACTTCAGAAAATACCGTGTTATTGGCTTGTTTTTTCTTTCCCTAGTCGAGCTCCTTGTTTTATGAGGTATTTAGGCAACAAGGCAGTTTTGAACGCAGCTGATTCACAGAAGCGAGCGTCATTTTCAAACCGCTCTCTTCCAAAACCCGCGCAGTGGTGACATTTTACTGTCAGCTCTCTTCACTGACTAAAAACGGGTTTTATTCCTCTTGCCACAGGAGTATCTGGACCTCAGTGGACCTCTGGAACAGTATTCACCCAGCTACCCCGACACCAGGAGCTCGTGTTCCTCGGGGGACGACTCCGTGTTCTCTCCCGACCCGATGCCTTACGAACCTTGTCTCCCCAAGTACCAGCACATGAATGGGAGTGTGAAAACATGAAAAGAGGAGCAAAGAGGCAAGAACATCAAGCTACCTACCGTATGCAAAGCAAAAGCTTTCCTCCAGGACCTTCATGTTTCTGCTTGTACATAGGAAATATGGGAAAAAAAAAATAAAAGAGAGAGAAAAAAAGGAAAAAAAAAAAACAATTTGGAGGAAAGCGGTCAGAGCCTACATAAAGATTCACATCACTTGCAGCTTTCAGATGTTCCCAAGAAGGAAGAATGTTTATGAGCTGTGTCTAGATACCCATTGCTATCAATTTTCTGGCTTCCTGTGAGCTGCAACAGACTTTGTTTGTACAATGGACCAGTTGGACTTGAGGCAAACTCTGGGTCTGCCTTTCTTGTTTATTTTGTAATATTTGGAGAAAATATATGTTGGCACACACTTACAGAGCACAAATGCAGTATATAGGTGCTGGATGTATGTAAATATATTCAAAAATATGTATAAATATATATTATATATATTTACAATGAATTATTTTTTGTATTGATTTAAAAAATGGATTCCCAATCCACCTAGCAAATTAGTCTCTTTTTTAACAGCTATTTGCTAAATGCTGTTCTTACACAGAATTTCTTAATTTTCACCATCCAAAGGTGGAAAATACTTTGCTTTCAGGGAAAATGGTATATCATTAATTTATTAACTAATTGGTAATGTACAAAACAGTTAATCGTTTATAGGGTTGTTGTGTTTTTGTAATTTAAATGGCATTTCTATGCAGGCAGCACAGAGGACTAGTAGATATATTGCTCAGACTTTACTAGTTTTCAGATCTTTAAGAAAAGAAATATTTACAGTATATAACTAATTTGGGGAAATTAAACTTTTGATTTATTTGTGTTTAAAAACTGCAGTGTCAGATGATTATTCTTATCAAAACCAAATCCTTTAACAAGAAAGTCTTTTTCTTATAAGGTCCAAAAAGCAGAGTCATACCACTCCAAAAAAAATAAAAAAAAAGAAAATAAAGGACATTTAGAAGAAGGTTCTTAAAGTAAGGAAAGACATGGGTTGGTCTATTACCATAGCAGAACAGACTGCTCTAAAAGGAGCTGATCTTCTACCCTGAGTTGCACATGCATCAAATTATCTACAATTCTCTTGCCTTAGTTGGATAATAGGTTCCAGACCTTTTGGCCTGAATTTTTTGCCTTTATCCTTCTATTGTAACTTAAGTTAAAAAGAGAGAAGTTGTTTATAATGACAGCTTGCCATAGGAATATCAGCATCTTTTTAGGGGATTAATTCATGCTGACTCCACTATTTCCTTCTGAACCATTCCATAACAGTAGGTGTAGCACTGGCCTCTGCTAGAATATCACTGTTTGCATCTTTTTTACAGAATCCTGTATTTTTACTTTCAGAACATTGACATTGATATGGCCATGGAATATGAATGCAAATTTCACTGTTTTATGTGGTGGTGTGTTTGTTTTGGTTTTGTTTGTTTTTTTTTGGTTTTTTTTTTAAATAATTTTTTAATTGGGTAAAATAAGTATTAAAATCTGTTAACTTTTGTACTGACAATAAAATGTTTCTACAGATATTAATGTTAAAATTACAAAATAAATGTCATGCAGCTTATTTTTCCTAATCCTTTGTGTCATACAAAATGGTTTCCTGAACATCAAGTGATGGAACACGTCCAGAAAAGCTTCCTTTAGACCTTATCATTGATCCTATATTACAAAGCAATCCTTTCAGGAATAATGCTTTTGCCTCTGTCTTGTAAAATGTCTACTCATGAATATAGCATGGGTTATTTGAGTAAACATATGTACAGTCTTTGGTGGAAAATGTCTTGAAGTGTTCATAATGTAGACCCAAAGTATGTTCTCTTTTTATTTAGGCTGTATCCTTTAATTAGTGAGGTTTCTGATTCATTCAGGGGAGGCTGGAGGACTATTTGCATGGGAGATTTTTAAAAAAAATCATAACAGATGGAAAGAGGGAAAAAGTTTAAAGTTTGGCATCGTGGCAAGAGTCTAAAAGTTTTCTGTTGGATTTTTTCCTTTTTTTTTTTTTTTTTTTTTTTTTTTTTTTTTTTTTTTTTTTTTTAATTGGAAGCAGAAAGAAGACACCCCAAACCAGCCTGTGCTTGAGGCAGAACTTTATGGAAAGAAGACACCCCAAACCAGCCTGTGCTTGAGGCAGAACTCAGAACTTTATGGTCACATTACTGCAGGTTAGCCTGGAGAGGGCTGTTGGATGTGCTCTTCACCACGTGCTCTGGAAGTGCTCCAGACACCAAACTGTTCTTTGGTTCCTTTCTGCTCTGACTGAAAACCCCATGCCAACCCTAAGAAACTTCCTAAAAAAAAAATCCCATTAAAAACTGGTGGTTTTCAATTAAGAATTATCTGATGGGAAGATTCCCACTGACTTCACTGGAAACCATAATTCCCTTTCCCCACAACCTCTATTGCAATCAGCAGCAACGGTGGCTACTGTGACAGAAACCACAGTGGTTGTAATGACACGTCTGGTTTTAAGATTTTTTTAAAGGCTCTCAGAAGATCTTGAATCTTGCTCTGCTTGTGTTGAAATGGATTTAAGTGCATCTCTTCTACTTTGGTACCTTTTTAAAATAACAGGATGAGAACTTGCAGAAATGTGATGGAAAGGTGCTGTTAATTAATGTAAACTTATTTGTTGCCCTGCTTTTGTTTCAAACAGGTGATTTGGTTTTTCTAGTTTGATGTTTTAGCTCTCAGAGAGTTAGATTTTCACCTTGGAGGTGTTCCACAAATGTTATCTGAAGTCTGTTATGCCATTTTCCTAATTTTATACTGTAATCCCTGGAGATCAAGTTTTTAAAATTATTATAGTTAATTATTATTTATTTTATTTTTATTATTTTTTTATTTCATTCTTTCCTGCTGTCTGAAGGCTTTCTTCTCTGTCTGCTGAATGATTTCCTTCTGTGGAAACCCTGGCTCTAGGGCAGGGCACAGAAGCCTCACTTTTGGGGGGAGAAGCAGAATATCCTCTGTGTGTGGAGTTGCAAGAGGAAAGTAGTCCCCAGAAAATAAAATCTGGCTCTGAAATTTGCTCAAAGGGGAAATCCTGCCTTTGGATCGTTCATGAGTAGAAGGCTTGAGGATTTGGGATTGCTGTCTCATCTGAAAGCAAAGTTGCCACTCATGGGAGCAGTGATGGAGAGTGCATTTTGTCAGGAGGTGGATTTACATCATGTGGATAGTGAGGGGCGTGTTCTGGGTGTGGTCAGTTCCCTTCAGCATCTCCGTGGCTTTTGTCCCTCCTTTAGGTATTGATTTGAATCACCTCTGTGCAATATATGGGAAAATAATGTAGAAATGAGGTTTCTTGCAGCTCAAATCCATAAACAAGTTGATATTGCCTGTTTTGGAGGGTTTCCTCTTTTTTATTCTAACTTAGCAAGTAGCAGGGGTGATAGATATGAGTCAAGACTGCAATTTTTGGCTGTAATATACCAAGTATTATTATATATAATATACACAGGAGAATACAGCTTGTTCTTTTTTCTCTTGATGTTATACCATCCAATATCTGGTTCATTTTGCCTTTACAAAAGTAAGAGTTCAGCTGTGTTATGAGTTTCAAACTTGTCTAAAGACAAATAAATTGACTGCTTTATTTCTGGAAGCAAGATGAGCAAAGCTGTGTGCACAATGTAGCAATTTTCATGTCTAGCTCTTGAGAAAAAAGCAGCACAGGACCCTCAGGTTTAGAGAGCATGATTTTAGTGAAAGGTTCAATGATCTCAAAGTGATAAATTAAACCAAGAGAAGGTTAATACCAGTGATGAGTTTCAGAGATTTTTCTGTATTCCAGGAAATTTTAAGTGTATGTCTGTTTAGGAAAAGCAAAATATTATCGGAAGACAAGTCCTAGGAACTTTAATATGTTTTAGTTTTATTTACATTTTTTTAAGCAACCAAACTTACTTAAGGGGAAAAAAAAAAAAAAAATAGATGCTATTCATAAAAAAAACCCCCAGCCATAGAAAGTGGGAAAAAAGCCAACCAACACCTGCTTTTGAAAGGTCATCTGTCCATTCTGTAATCAGGAAGTTCTGTAGTTGGATAATTTGATCTAATAATTAGAAAATATCATTGATTTTTCCACAGTAAATATAATAAGGTTGTTGGGATGAAGCATAAGGTACCTCCAGCAGTTTGTTTTTGGAAAGACTGCCTGTGAAAATGTCTGTACTCCTGAGCTTTTGTTGCCATGAAATTCTGTGGAGCAAGTCTTTTTTTTTATCCCCTTTTATTAGATTTACCTGTTAGCTTTTTCTGTAAGGTCCTAGAGGAGAGAGAAGATGGAGACAGTGCTGAGAGAACAAGGGGAAGAGGTACCAGTTGCTTCAGGGTATTTATCTGAATTTTAGAAGCAATTTCTTCACTTTGGGACCACTTGGACACTGGGATGAACTGTCTGGAGAAGCTGTGGAATCTTCCTGGCTGTAGATGTTCAAGAACTTGGCTTGCCAGGGCCATGGATAAGCTCATCTACAGCCCTGCTTTCAACACAAGGTTGGCCAAGATGATCTCCAGGGTCCTTTCCAGCTGAAACTTTGTGATTTTGCAAATCTGTGCTGTTGGCCAAAGGTAACCCAGATCTGCAGCAGAGTCCTGGAAAGCTCTGCTGGCACATGTGGAGGCTGTCAGTGGGATGTATTGTTCAGTAAATTCAATTTAGTGATGCATTTAACAAGAGAGATCCCCCTCTATTAAGGATGTTAAATGTCAGGTCCTGGCTTGTTTGTGATTATCACAGCTGGCCAAAAATCCTGAGATTGGATTCCTGTGCAGTGGAAAGCAGTGGTTTGTCAGAAGCTTTCTAGAGTGTAAGTGCCCTGCAGAAGATGGAGTATTTTGATTACATCAGAATGATGAAGTCAGAAGGAAATGAAGTCATTTTATGTTGCAGGTATTTAAGAGCAGGCAATGGCATATAAAGTCAAAGTAGGAAACGGAGTATTTAGATTTTGTCACACCAGAACAGACATAGCTCTAAGTGACATCCAGGTACCACAATTATGGTGGCACTAATGCTGTATAAATGTTCAGTAATTTTGCTTTTTAAATGTTTTATTTCCAGTTCAGGCTGAAGATGAGGTTTCCTTGAAGAATACACTTTGAAGGATCAAACAGGTCCATATTGCTCTGACTGTCAGCCAGTATTTTGATGGGTTTTTTTCCTGTTTCTCCAGCATTTGTCCCCTGGAACCAGAGGCTGTGAGTGAAGCCAGGGGCCAGGATGTTTTTGGGATGGCTTGTGAGGGACCTGGTCTACTGTCAGCCAGTATTTTGATGGGTTTTTTTCCTGTTTCTCCAGCATTTACCCCCTGGAACCAGAGGCTGTGAGTGAGGCCAGGGGCCAGGATGGTTTTTGGGATGGTTTGTGAGGGACCTGGTCCCATTTCCCTTGCCCAGCACTGGGTGCTGGGACCAGGTTTTCCTTGAAATAGTGATTTATTGGGAAAGCTTTACCAAAGTCCTCATTTCCAGGGAGGACTAATAATTCTCTGTGGCAGGGGAGCAGCTCATCTCTTCTGCTGGGGCATCTCTGAATTGCCTGAGAGGGTGGAGAAAGAGGCCAGCAAACAGGAGCCCTGGTGTCCCTGCTGTCTGGGGAAATCTATGGCCCATGGTACTGGAATCAATGGGAAATACATTCATGGGGGGGGAAAAAAAAATCAAAACTCCCAAGAACTCTTTTAAAGACATCTGAGAGAAGGTAACCAAGGTGCAATATTTTTTCTAGATGTGTTTCCCTGGCACAACTATGATTTATTTTAGGGTTTCTCAGCAGCATGCAGAACTTCTATTCCAAAGTTTCTTGGCACAGAGATGCACAAATTTCCTTCTGAATGCAAAATTCAGTGAGTGAGGGGTCTACCATGGGAATGATGCTTTGGGTGTCCAGAGGAGCAGCTGCATCCAGGGCTGGACAGAGAGGGTGTGACACTGCTGGGAAATTGGGGTTCATCTTCTCACGTGGTCGCAGAGCTTCTTCAAGGGTCATGTGCCAAATCCTGGGTGCCAAAAGCACTTGAGAATATTTTTCCACTACCACAAAAACTGGGGAAATCCTGGCCTGAAGTTTTTTCTTTCCCTGCTCCTCCTACAAATTTTCTTGAGTCTACGGGGAAATCCTGGCCTGAAGTTTTTTCTTTCACAAATATCCCCTGCTCCTACAAATTTTCTTGAGTCTATTTCAGTTATTTTCAGTGAGTTTCTTTTTTAAAAGTATTTGCATTTTTCAGGTCAGAGAATTGAGAAAAAAACCCCAAACATTTGGGTTTCTGCTGGGAATTGTAAGTAATAAAAATTTGCCTATATATTTTTTCAAATATATTGCCTATATATTTTTTTCTCTCCTTTAAAATTTCCAAGACTTGTTCCCTGACAGCTGTTATAACAAATGGTGGGGCTTCTTCAGCTGATGTAATCCAAGACTTCAGTCATGTCAGTGGAGTTGCAATATTTATTTATCAACTGGTCAATGAAACATCATCTGTTGATTTGTTCGTTAGAGTTAAGTAGCCCTTTTATCATATTTTTTACTAAAAATAC